ACTTCCGACTGGTATTTTTTACTCCGTTTATGGCAATGCATGATATGAACGTTTTCATTTTTCACCCATATTATCTCAGTGCAGTGCTGATCCTGCACCACATATAATGACTTATTTACGCAAGGTGTAACTGTTGTGAAGGTCTCTCACTCTTATTCGCAAACTGACAGTTTTTTAATTTTTTAATAATATGGGTGAAAAATATTTACGTAAGGTAAAAGCTGTCCAACTAGTAGACTTTTAAGTAAAAAAAATTGTTTTTAGTGAATCAAATACATATATCAAAGTGTAACAGTGTAATCCGCTTCACAATCATTCAAAGAAGATAAACTTCATACTCTTTCATGGGGGTTTATGACTGAAGTGTTCATGATTCATAATTTAATTCCTAAGTGTTCATAATTGTACACATACTGTATAGTAACTAGGGATGTAACGATTCACTCAACTCACGATTCGATTCACGATTTTTATTTCACGATTCGATTCATGATTATTATAATTTTTTTTAACAAAATAAGATTTAAGACAAATTATAAATTAAATGTGTCCTTTTATTATTGCTTGGACAAAATGCTGCACATTTCTTTGTGAAATTGAAATATAATACTATAATAATATACTAATACAGCACTTGCATATTATTGCTCTTTTGTTGGTTTTGATTGCTTCTATTGTCCTTATTTGTAAGTCGCTTTCGATAAAAGCGTTTGCTAAATGACAAAATTTTAATATAATGTAAATGTAAATAACAAAACTAAATTGAAATTTTAAAACAAGCCCCAAATCAAATAAATAAGTAACACAAATAAAATAAATCTCTTCATATAAACAAAATAAGGCTTTGTCTGTGCTCTTTCCGTTTTAAAATTAGAGGCAGGCAACCACTGCATTTTAATCATGATCCAAACAAAGATGCTGCATACATGCAACATGAGCAGTTTTTAAACTAAATTAGATTGTATAGTTTCGAAATTTGAAGCAAAAACAGAATGGTTTGACTTCAGTTTTGTGAAACTATAAATAAAAATATCTGCATGAAACAGCAAAGCTGAATGAGACGCAGATTCACTCTCTGCCAGCAGGTGGCGCTTAAAGCGTTTCCCTGGTTTCCGCTGTAAACAAAGCAGCGCTGAATTTATGAACTTTAATATGCATTATACAGAGGCAAGATGAAAAGAAAAAATACCATCTAAACTTTTCTAAAGACAGTAAGTTCCCCTCAGACATACATCCATATAAACTCCTACCCCTAATTGAATCGCGATTTGTTTAGCATCTCAACCGATTTGAATCGTCACACATTTGAATCGACTTTCAACCGGCTCGCGGTTAATCGTTACATCCCTATTAGTAACCGTTTTAGTTTTGCACAAGAAATTATTTGCAAATTAAAGTTGCATCAGTTGATAATTACAGAGCAGTTTTGGATTGTGCTGATTTAATATATGTTAAATAAATGATAATACAAATATTTTTACCAAATTAGAAGGGTCCCTTTATAACTTACAGCATTAGATGAGAGAGGATTTCTTTCATATGTAAGCAAAATGGACACTATAACCAAAATATGCCTAAATGATTTGGAATCAAATTGAGAGTTTTTGAATCAGAATCAAAATCATCATGTGAGTGCTTGTGGTGGTAGTAAACGTAATGCATTTCAGACCTAGTTAATAGCCCACAGTGAAAAGTGACCCGCAGGGGCAAAGAAGAAGGGTGGAACTTTGGACCCAGACACAAAATACACAATAAAAAACACATTACGTTGTGAGAAGTTTTTTAACGAGAGATGGTTTTTTTCTTGTGTCAGAACAGGTCAACAACAGGTTAAAACTGTTTGTGGAGAGGGAAAGTTTCGAAAAGAATTGCCCCTAATGTTTCAGAAAAGCAAGAATAATGTAAATGAAGTGTAGTGTATTAATGTGAAACACACACGCTTTCTTGTGTTGCGCTGTGTTTGTGTTGCTATTATGTGTGTGTGGTCAGTCTGATTAAAAAGGTTGTTTTTCTCCAGCTGTCAGCGGAAAGAATGGAGAATGTCAAAATAAGTATGAGTGGAATAGATGCTACCGTTAGCTCAGACCACACACATACACAACCTCTTCAACAAGCAATGTCATACAATTCAAACAGAAATAAATTAGGCCTCATACAGCACGTACCCTTACTATAAATATTGTTTCAGAGCAACACATGTGTATGTGTGAGTCTACACACACGTGTATGTATGAGGGTGTGAGTGTATCTGTCCTCGGTGACAACTGACAAGCTAATCACACACACGTATTCATCATTCAGCAGCGTTTATCTGTTCACAATCTCTTGTTTTACAAGCATGAAGAAATGTACACACATGCGGACACACGTTTGAGGGAAGCAATTTTAGCTTGATGGAGCATTTGACCAATCAGTTTGTGGGTGGTCTAAAGAAAGACAATTCTCTCTCCCTCTCTCTCTATAACTTGTATCCTCTAGTGTGTTTTGGTAACACTTTTTACAGTAAGGTTCAGTTTGATCGTATACATTCATTTGGTACATTATCGTTCAAAAGTTTAAGGTTTTTTAATGTTTTTGACAGAAGTATAATATAAACAGTACTGTAAAAAGTAACAGAAATATTGTGAAATATTACAATTTAAAATAACTGTTCTATTTTAATATATTTTCAAATGTAATTTATTTTAGCGATGAATAGGCTGAATTTTCAGCAGTCATTACTGCAGGCTCGAGTGTCACATGATCCTTCAGAAATCATTCTAATATACTGATTTGGTGCTCAAGAAACATTTCTTATTATCAATGATGAAAATGCTTAATATGTTTGTGGAAACCATGTATTATATAATTAATAGAAAGTTCAAAAGACCAAATAATCCAACTGTGCATCTCTTGTGATACTGCAGTAAGACAAAGTTTCTAATGACCTTTAAGAAAGAAAGAGATTGGTGTACAGTTGGAAAAAAAGGTACAGTGTTTTGTTTAGTTTGTGTGTGTTGTTTAGTGTGTGTAAAAATGAGACAGATGAGATGTCTCACACTAGAGTCGAGTTACAAGGTCTAGACTGCACAGAGCTTTTTCTCACACACACACGTCTTGCTCAATGAGGACATACCGTAGACCTCTATTGTATATATTTAAAGCTAATTATAGTTACTGCAAAGTAACCCAAACCATACGTCTAAAATAAAACGTTTTGCATGTTTAATATTGGAAACACATTATTTGCTTTATTTATAAATCCCTTTTACGTTTCATGGTGACTCAGATGTCCCCAAAGGCAGGTTTTGTCAGATTTGGCTAACTTCTAGGGTCGGCTTGGTCCCTAAAGTACATGTAATTAAACCTCCATACTCACTTTTTTTTGTTGCGTATCATAATTGCAAATAAGAAAATCATCGTAAGCTTGGAGAAATGTTTTCAATGCTCTCTCTGTCTCACACACACACATACAGACTCCGAGCCAGAACATCATGTCCAAAGGCTGGAACATCCTCTGGCAGGAAGACCTAGAGTGTCTGATTTCAAACACACGGTGGATTAAAAAACAAAGCGTGACACAGCAAGGTGTTTACAGATCTAAAAGTGTCATCTTACCGGTTAAAACACACACATACTCGCGTTCACATTCGCGCTTTAATGTTTTACGTGGAAACATGAATACACATGACACCCAATGCACTCTGGGACTGAACTTTGTGATTTAGTGGCTTCTCTAATCACATAAATAATGTGAGTTTTACCCAGACACAGCTGCATGACCCCGCTAACCCTGCTCTACAAGTGTGTGTGTGTGTGTGAATTCAGACTCCTTTCCCTTCAACAATCCTGCAATCAAAAAAGAAAAAAAAAGACAAGCTATGAAGATGACAATAACAGTCTAGGTCTTGTAACGTGATTCTACTGTGAAGAACAGCAGGGTCATGTTCTCTGTCTTACTGACACAGACACAGATATGTGCTACTGCAACTGACCCAGAGTTACTCTTCTCTCAACCTTTTCATTCACTGTGTATAAACATACATGGGAACTCCAAACTGTCCTGAAGTATCCTGACCTGATCGTTATCCCCGAATATAAGATGTATGATGAGATGTGTGTGTGTCCACCGTCTGCCTTAACATCCTCTTATTGCAATCTCAAAAGCCCACAGTTACAATAGTAGTGCTTTATATACATACAAAGAATGAAGAACTGAAATAAAGATAAATAAGCAAGGAAAGGAGAAAAAAAGAGAAGAAAGACAGAAAGAAATAGGAGGGAGAATGTATAGATGGAATGAAGCCTGAAATGGAAAAAATTAAGGGAGAACAATGAAAGGAAGGAAGAAAAATAGAAAGAAGAAATGGAATGAAGAAATGAAAAGAAAAAATGAATGAATAAAGAGAAAAAAAAATTATTAAAAAGGAATGAAAAGAAGACAGAGAAAAAAATTGCAAGAAGGGGAAAGTATTAAGAAAAATATGAAGGAAAGAATAAAGAATGAGAAGAAAATAAAGGAAGAATGAAGAAACAAAGGAAGAGAAAGTTTGTTCTATCCCAACCTCATCAATTTAGTGAAAATGTCTTTGCTTCCTCTCTCTCTGTGTGTGTGTGTGTGTGTGTGTGTGTGTGCTTGCAGCACTATTACTCTTTTCATATGTGAGATAATGATAAGAAAGGTATTTCCTTTCTAAATAATTCATTAATTTATGTGATTTTGTGTGTGTTTGTGTGCTGGATCATCCTATTGGAATGTCTTACTGTTGTAAATCCACAGGGTTTCTCAACACACACACACACATATTATGTTCATTATGCTTTCGTTCAGCAGAAGTGTGTGTGTGTGTGTGTGCATGGTGACATTTATTTTATGAAGAAGGGGATTCATTTCATTGATCATGTTTTGGCTCAAACTCAAGCTGGAGTTAAAATGTAAAATGCTTTGAAACAGCACCATGAATTAATTTTATTATTCTGCACTATTTTTAAAAAAAAAACTTATTCCTTCATCTTCACAGAGCAGATGGAGGGATGAACACACAAGAGGGCTGGAGAGAGTCATTCATCGTACCAAACGTTCAGGTAAAAAAAAAACTCTTTTGTGTGTGTTGGTATTCATGAAATTTAGAGCTTATATTAAGACAGTGTGTGTGTGTGTATACTTGTGTGTACATGTGTATACGTGAGTATAAAGCCTGTGAGAATGCCAGCGATTTCTCTTTGATGTGGTTTAGAGTTCAGAACGAGATGCATTTCCTTCATTTGATCATGCTACCTCTCACTCTCTCTCTCCCCCTCGTTCATTCCTTCCATCTTACTCATAAACTACTGGTGCGCACAGCATAGCCCAGTAATATGTGAAATCCCTCTCCTTTTTCCATTCTGGTAGCTTCTAACAAACTGATATTGCTCCTCTCTTGCTCTCTTGCTTTCTTATTGGTTGCCTCTAGCTTGGGTTACCTACTCCTCTTTCCACCGCCGTGATTGGCTCCAGTTGGCAGCGTTTTGATTGGCAGGTGGTTTGGCTTTGATTATGGCTGTGCAGTCACTGGCTCTGATCGGGAGTTCTACTGTTTCAGCTTTTACACCTGTGTGCGTCATGTGCCAAAACAAATACCCATACAACACAGATAATGTGCACGCATGCCATCTCAAACGATGCTGAAGCAGATGGAAAGCAAGGTTACTGATGATGCTACATATAGGGTAGATGATATAGTGCGGATTAATGTCAACAAATGAGATGTACAGTAAAGTACAGTAAGGAATTATATGATATCCTTAAGGCATTTTAATTGCACATTGGTAGAATGACATTAAGATTTGTATTTTAAATACTAAGACATTGTTTCCTTTGGTCCACTGTAGTCATATTCTACTTCATTTAAACTTTCAGCCAACCTGAATATATAATAATAATAATAAGAAGAAATATTTTATTGTAAAGGTAGTAGTAGTAAATTAATATTGTTACTACTACTACTACTACTATTATTGGCAGACTTAAAAGAGATGGATTTTGAAGGATGTCACAACTACTGACTGTTTTCGCTAAAATCTCACCTTTTTCTGAGATCAAACGAGAATATGAGGTCTACAGAAAATTATATTTTGGTGCAGAAGCCAGCAGACAGCACCTGAGAGCCTGAGAGCAGTTTGTATAATTTTACCCCCATAAATTGTCATCAACTGTCCCATTTCAGCACTAGACAGCTGTGCTATGTTAACTTGTGGTAATGTGACCGCGTGCGAACGGTCAAATGCATATTAATTGCCTTTTGTGTTTAAATTGATAACAAAGTTATCAATTTAAACACAAAAGGCAATTAATGTGGTTCAACTGGTATTGAGAATACCAAACATTACCCTTGCTGTAAGCGCGTCTTTTTAAGCTATGTAAGCACATTTACATAAGTAAAATTGTTTATGAATTAGTGAACGAGACCCAGTATTTCTGAGATTATTGGTTTGTCTGTGTGTGTTGAGTCTTGTGCACTAAATTGTACATTAACTTCTCTTAAACACTAGTAGAGTGGCACACTCAGGTGTGTTGCAGATGGACTCAGATAATGCCTGTAATATGCTGAGCTGTAAATCTCAGCAGTGCATGGATGTTCATAAATCCCGAACATACTGTTATGTAGACTAGGATATTGCATTCAGCTCAATGTGTGTGTTTGAAACTATAGACCTCACTCATCGCTGTGAGCTCATTTTGAACAGCGTCCACGCACATAGCTCATATTGTTGTTGATTTTTATGGCTTAGTTGTAATTCTACTAAATTTCCATGAAATGTTGACAACAGATTTCAATTGATTAGATTCGAGTATAAAATCCAAGCATCAGACTGTGTTAGGTGAGTATTATTGCGAGTGTCCAACTGTGTGTGAGCATCTGTGTGTACATGCATGGTTAAATAAGGAAGCCATTTAAATCCATTCTTGTGATCAAAAGTCGTACTGATCATTCCCAATTCTCAGATTCATGGGTCAAAGCACTTGCACATGGACATACACAAACTCACTAACTTTGTGGCCTCATAAACGTTAACTTTGTGAATGTACAGCTGGTGTTCGGTGTGTTTGTGTGTGCAGCTGCATGTTTGGTGTGAAATATGGTTCCAATATTGTCAGTCTTTGATGCTAATTTGTTCCATTCATTAAAGACTTTTAACACTCTTTCTTTTTTCTCCCATAAAACAAACACAGACATGCCCAATGTCAAGTAACCCTAAAGTAAATATGCATGTACACAAACTTTTTATATTTGTATTTTATTTATAGTTCAACATTTAAAAGCACTTTTTCTTATATAATATTTTGAGTTGCTTTTAAAAATATCTTAGTTGCATGTATATTCCTTTGTAAAACTGGAGTTTCAACTACAATATACATGTTACCTTTCCCTGATGCTTCTCTTGATGTAAGCTCTCTGAGGCTCGCCGGCTCCACCAGAGGGAGTTAATTCACTCTGTTGATCAATCTGCGCCACTGGGTTGACAATTTCACAAAACCTGAGATTAATTAAACTATGATATTTTTATTATGTTTAGCAAACGTTTTGTAAATCAGGTGAGTGGATTTGCTAAAGCTGCAGGGACAAAGCAAACATTACATGTGGTAATCTGGTCAGAATGTTCTGACTAAGTGTTTTTTTTTTTTTTTTACTACGTAGATAATAAAGGTTTTACAAAACAAACCAAGGCTTTGTGAAGTGGGCTGAATGATTTGTTCATACTGAGAACAGAATTCACTGAAAATGTCATATTTGCCTGTTTATTTTCATCTTAATTTTGAAAACCCGCAACTTAAATACACTTCAGTAATAAAATAATATGATTGAAATATTAAACATTTGATGTGTGAAGCCCCTGACGGTTCCAAAGAGAAAATCATTTTTTTTATGGGCCATTGTGTCAGTACTGTGTTGTTAGAGCAGGGACACAAAGTCAATCTGGCTATAGTTTCCATTTCAAAGATCACTAGAAAATTGACACAAAGTCCATTTTAAAATAAACTGTATGCTTTAACTGAATTAATTCTTTAACCATTTTGTCCATCTGCTTTCTATAGCCATTAAAATCACTGTGTTAATTGCGGCTGTTTAAACAGGATTGCGGGTGGTATGTGAAAAAGATGCAGGGTTTGCGCTGAAATATCTGATTGTTTTATAAAAAAGACAGGGACATCTGCAGGGAGGTACTGAAGGCAGGTCAAGTTCTTTGCATGCTTATTATATGTGTCATGTTTGCTTTTTGTTGTGCTTGCTTGATTTTATGTATGTGCATGTTGCCCCCCCCC